GAGGGAGAGAAAGATGATGGATGTGGAAATCGTATGACAGATGCTTTTCTAGTTCCCTTATCCTGGGACGGCAGCCTCGACCAGTTAATGTCTTCATCACCCAAATGTGGATTTTCTCTTTCAGGTGGGGGGAGGGGTACTGAGAGTTGAGCTCAGGGCCTTTGCACTGAGCTACAACCCCAGACTGTCTTTTATATTTTTATTTCGAGACAAGGCCTCACTAAGTCGCTCAATTGCCTAGGCTGGGCTCATTCTTGCTGACTTCCTAGCTCACACATGTTTGGTTTGACTTGTAGTTAAATTTTTTTTTCTAAATTATTCAACAATGAAGAGCATTTATGTACAACCACGATTCCACACTTGCGGTGGAAACCGAAAGGTCAGGCAGACCCAGATTCTTGCATACCTCAAGTGGCATGGTGGGAAGTGAGGCGACACTGCCCTCTTTGGACTTGGTGTGTCTAACATCACTCCAGTGTGCTTCTCCGTCAGTACGGTATTTAAATTCTGCCTCTGTTTTAAGGACTACGTCAGGTTGCAAATAGACCTTGAAGGTTTCTCTACTTTTCTAGCTCCGGTAATCAAAATTCATTTTACTCTAGGACACCAATTATTTATATCCTTCATCTGCAGTTAATCACATACTACCTTGTGGAAAATTCATATTATTATTCTGACATTAAAAACAATGGGAAAAAACCCAGCAGAGATCAAAAGGCTTTGACATAAAGCAAAGAAAGAAAAAATCTTACAGAGTGGCAACAAATGTGTACTCTTTTCCGCCATGGGGATTTCCAGATGACAGAGATACCCCAACGTGCTGAAAGTCACCCTGACAAGCACTTGGTCTTTCTTTGTGGCACTGGGAATTGAACCCAGGGCCTTGATAGCTACATTCCCAGCCAGTTTGTTGTTGTTAATGTTGTTTTGCTTTTTGTTTTCTTTGAGACAAGATCTAAATTGTTAAGTTGCCCGGGCTGGGCTCAAATTTTCGATCATCTTGCCTCGGCCTCCCACTGTGCTGGAATTACGGATAACTGCCACCATGCCTGCCTGAAAAGTACTTCAGATGACCCCATTTACTCTTTGTACAATGCTGTAAAGTAAATATACTATATTCCATTTTACAGATGAGGAAACTGAGGCATACCCGGCTTCTAACCCAAGTCTGGTTGACTCAAAAGCATATATATTCTAGTCTTTGAATTACTGGATAAATCAATCCTTATTATTACTGCCATGGACAAAATCCACTTCTCAGCCCTTTTGTTGTTTGGGATGTGTGTGTGTGTGTGTGTGTGTGTGTGTGTGTGTGTACATGCACGTGCTGTAGATTGAATTTAGAGCCTGCTGCATGCCAGTCTCTACTGAGCTACCCCCTCAGCTTCTTAGCTTTGACGGTCCAGAGGTTTAATTATTCTCAGTGCAATCTGAGTTGATGAACTAACAAAGACTAATTCGTGGAAACTGAACTATCAAGGGACTTCTGTTTTAAAATGTCACCTTATTTACAGGTTGATAATTTGCGTAAGCAAGTCAGTGTACTCTTTTGATCATTAGTATTGTAGAAGTTAATTTTTTTTTTTTTTTTTTGGTCTTTTTGACACAGGGTCTCCCTCTGCAGTTCACGCTAGCCTTGACTCACTTTGTAGCCCAGGCTGGCCTCGAACTTGCAACGAGTGCTGGGAGGCTGAGGCAGGAGAATTGTTGTGAATTCAAGACCAGCCTGGGCTATGAAGTGAGCTCAAGGCAAGCCTGAACTGCACAGTAAGACCCTGTCTCAAAAACACAAAAAATAATAATAAAAAAATAAATGAAAAAAAAGGTATTGGTGGTATAGCGCAGTGCCCCATGGGTTAAGCTCACGTTTCCTACCCTACCCACCAAAGTCACTTAGGGTGCTTTTCAACATGGCTGATTCCTTGGATTTTGTACAATGCTGTTAAAGCAGAATTTCTGGGGCTGGAATCCAGAAACATGCTGGGGCTTTTCTTATTGTTTTTGTTTTGTTGTACCGGAGATGACGCCCAGGGAACATTGAGCCAAAACACTTGGTCATTTTTGTTTTTTTATTTTGAAAACAGAACCTCACCAAGTTTCCCCAGCTGGCCTCAAACTTGGGATCCTCTTGCCTCGGCCTCCTGAGTAGCTGGTTTATAGGCATGTGCCACTGTGCCATAACTTCTGAGGAGAGAGTTCCTAAAGGAAGGAGGTAGACATGATGGACTTAATCCCATAGCAAATTGGCATAAGACTAGGGGAACAGGGATTCTGCGTTGAAGGTGATGGAAGAGAGTCCTTGAATTCATTTCTGGTACAACCTACTACCTAGGTGCATATTTAGGTCCATTTAGGCTGGGTGTGGTGGCGCATGCCTGTAATCCTAGCACTCGGGAGGCTGAGGCAGGAGGATTGTTGTAAGTTCGAGGCCAGCCTGGGCTACAAAGTGAGTTCAAGCCTAGCCTGAACTGCATGGTGAAATGCTGTCTCAAAAAGACAAGAAAGGAAGGAAGGAAGGAAGGAAGGAAGGAAGGAAGGAAAGAAACAAAGAAACAAAGAAATTAAGAAAGAAAGAAAAAAAGAAACAAAGAAAGAAAAGAAAGAAACAAAGAAACAAAGAAATTAAGAAAGAAAAGAAAGAAAGAAACTGCATAGGTATAATTGAGAGAAGGGCTTCACCGCCACGGTAGCATATTTGGGCTACAATAACAGGAAAAAGGTGATCTTCCCCCATTCACCACTAGGGCGGCCGAGCAGCTGCTAGCGCAGCATGGAGTCGAAGCAGCCCCTGGTGGAAGAGCGCAGGACTGGATTTGCTTCTGAACAGGTGCAGGGCGCCTCCCGGGCACAGGCTAGAGGTTGTGCACACAGCCAAAGGCCCGTGCCAGGCCAACTTCAATTCTAGGAGACCTTTGATTTCAGCTAAGAATTGTCTCCCCTTTATTAAATAGAAAGCTGAAAGAGGTGGGTTAAAGCTATAGATGCCCCAGATCCATGAAATCTGATCAGAGGCGATTCTGATATAACCAAAATAAAGGACCATCAATCTATTTTAATAGGATATCAACATAAGGAAAGCAAGTTTTTTGATTTTTCTACAGTTTTACTGAGAAGTACAACAAACATTTAAAGTTTAAACTACTGATTTGTTTTTTTTTTGGGGGGGGGTATTTGTTTTGTTTTATGAGACAGAGTCCTACTATGTAGTCCAGGCTGGCCTTGAACTCATGGCAATCCTCCTGCCCCAGCCTCCTGAGTGCTGGGATTACAGGCATGCGCCACAACGCCCAGCTCAGTAGTTTTAATATATGTCGATCTCATGAAGCCACAATTAGGGTCAGAAACATTTCCCTCCATCCCACACGTTTCCTGGTGCCTTTTAAGTTTTTATTAGTACCTGTTTGTAGCACATAATGGTTACATTCACGGTGGGGAGTTGGGGCATGTAGAGAACACATCTTCATTCTTTGTACTTCTCTTTCCCCTCCATCCTACGGCCTTTTGTAATCCGTCCTTCCTTGATGTTGTCCCTAGACAAGCACTCATCTGCTGTCTATCACGATAAATTACGTCAACCCGATTTTTCTCTAGTTATATGTAGTCAGGCACCGCACAGCAGTTCAGGCAACAGCGAACAACACATCCGATGGTGTTTCAGTAAGAGTGCAATGGACCCCGGCATGGTGCGTGTGCCTGTGATCCCAGCACGGGGGAGGCTTACAGTGAGGCTCACCCTAAGTTCGAAGCCAGCCTGGGCTGCACAGTGAGTATGAGGCCAGCTCAAACCATACAGTGAGACCCTGTCTCGAAAACAAAAACAAAATATTACAATGGAGCAGAATAATTCCTGTCACCCAGTGACGTCCTTGTTGTAGCTGTTGTATCCTAGCGCAACGTATTACCCATGTGCTTGTAGTGATGGAAGGCTGAGGCGGGAGGATTGCAAGTTCTGTTTTGGCTCTGGTCTTTCTGAGGCAGGGTCTTGCTGTGTATTCCAGGCTGGCCTCCGACTCGCAGTGATCATCCTGTCTCAGCCTATAGTCATGCACCACCATGCCTGGCATGGAGCATTACAAGTTTGAGGACCACCTGGGCAACTTAGTGAAACCCTGTCTCAAAATAAAAAGGGGCGCGGTGTGTAATTTAGTGGTAAAGCGCCCTGGGTTTGATTCCTTGTAACTTCTCCCCAAAATAAAAACTATAGTGTATATGATTATGTATAGTACATAACACGTAAAAATAATTAAATGACTGTTACTTTTTTTGCATTTACGGTACTATTTTTCGTCATTATGTTCTTTTTACATTTGTATTAGTACGTTTGTAGTACAAAATGATTGTATTAATCATGGAAAGCCAACACATGTACATAACACAGCTTAATTCTCTTCTCCTTTCACAAGATGTTTGAGTTAGAGCTTTTGCGGGTTTCTGCAAGATAAGCTGAAAAGAGACCGTTGCCTGGGCAATTATCAAAATACAGCCGTCCTTGGTGGTGAGGAGATAGAGAGGCCACCGGAAAAAGGAAGAAAAGGGAAGGCGCGTGTGGTATGCTTAGCAAGGCCTGATGGATGAGTAATAATTAGCAAATGTCCAAGTCTTCCCTCATGGTAGCTATAAAATTTATGATCCAGCCTGGCGTGGCAGCGCACACCTGCAATACCAGCACTTGGGAGGCTGAGGCAGGAGGATAGCTGTGA